TACCCAGCATATCAACACTAGACTTGAAACTTATATAGTGCTAAATCTGATTATTGAAAACCCGTATGAAATGGACCAAAGCCCGACGGGAACGACTATATAATACCCTACAACACTTTGGATATATACAGAAGGTGCAATATATAACGATTTAAATAACATTTCGTGACATTTCAAAGATAAACGACGTTCTGTATACCATTTACATGAAACTAGAGGAGATCATATTTCATCTCATTCGGATAATAAATGTGGCCTGAACAGTTTTTACAAAAAATACATCGCAACCGATTTAAATAAACACACACCTCATTCTAGACTCAAGTTCAAAATATGAGGGCCCCAACTTCAAATTTAATGTAGTGTTTTTATTCCCTCCGCCATAAGATGGAGTGTATATTAAATTTGTCATTCCGTTTGCAACACCTCGAATTATTCACCGGAAACCCCATAATGTATATAATCTTGATCCGAATAATATTCTATGTCGATGCGTGTCCGTCCGTCTGTTGAAATCACTATAGAGATAGCAATATTTAAGATAGAGCTCTGAAATTTTGCACACACATTGCTAGTGCTCCTAGGCTGTTTGGCATTGCAAATGGGATACATCGTTTCACGGTTTGGTGTAGCCTCCATATAATGGCACCCCCAATATTCGGTATTTTGGGGATTATGGACACATTTTTCAACCGAATTGATTGTAATTTAATATATTGTATAGCACATGTCCGTACAAAAAATAATAATAATATTGGCCCAAAATTTCAGGGTCGCCACCACACTACGGTAACCCCAAATATTTGGTAATTACATGATTTTGGACACGTTTTCAACCGAATTGACTGTAATTTGGTATTTTGGGTTCACATTGCATAGCACATCTTCGTACTAAAAAGAATTAATATGGACCCAAGTTTCAGGGTAGCCCCATATAACGCTTACCCCCAATATTCGATATGTTGGGGATTTTGTACACGTTTTTCAGACGAATTTGCTGTAATTTATTATTTTTGGTTCTCATTGTGCATGTGCTACATATCAAAAATGATTAATGCTGACTCATTTTTGGATTTTGGACACAAAATTGGCTGTAATTTTTATTTTAGTTTCTCATTGTGTAGCACATCATTGTTCTGAAAATTATATTATATTACTTACGTTAACGTAAGTGGGAAGTATTTAAAATCCAATACCGACCATTATTAACATTTTAGAACTATTTAGTACATCTTATAGTAATTTTTTCCAAAATTACCTCCATATCTCAACCCTACAAAATAATCCTTCTAGAGCAGGATTCCTGCTCTATCGGTTATCGTTAAATCCAAATTTACACAGTAGTAGACATTTCCAAAACTTTTTACATAGCCCAATCCTACACTACAACAGTGATCCTAGCTCCAAATTTCAAGATTCTAGCTCTATCGGTTCACTCAAATCCACATTTGGTACCATTCTATCTATCTGTTCACCCAAAATTAAAATTAAATTTAGTAAATTTAGTTCAATTTAGTACCCATAAGTATGAATGTCTAGAACTACATTTATACCCCAATCTTACACGTTCTATATAATAAAGCAAGTTTTACTATATAATAAAGCAAGGTTACTTCACAGATTTAGCTGGTCATTTTTAATTTACATCCCTCAAAAAAATCAGTAGGTCAATGAAATAACCGTGTTACGCTACAATTGATATTCCTGATTAAACAAACACTTTTTTAATTGAAATGCCGTTCATGCTTAAAAAACAGCAATAAACAAACAGTAACTGGAGTAATATTTCTGTTGTTGAATGATTCCGAAAATCAATGTAATTGATATGAACCAACAACGTTTCCTGGATCATAAAGGAATAATACAGTACATAACAAATCTATAAAATTGATATACACTGGTGGCCAAAACTAAAATAAAAAAACTAAACCTCTTTTGACATTGCTATCTATGTACTCCAAAGATGTATCTATAGGGGGAACAGCTTATGATTGTGTTGGCCATTATTAAACCTTAAATTTTTACTGCCGTTTCGGTATAAGTTTGAGGTTATTGTCAAGCTGAAACAGCCAAACAAGCGCTATATTTTCTTCAGCGAAAGGAACCATAGCGTTTTCCAACACATTTGTATAAACAATCCGATCCATTACTCCATAAATCTCGTAAATAGATCGGACTCCATAAAAAGAAAATCAGCCCAATACTATTATCGAAGCACATACTCCTTCAATACTGAGGTCTGAGTCTTTTATTTTTAAGCCTTCTCTCCGCAAACGAAATTGTCAATCGTTTTCCATACATTATTATTTACATCAAAATGAATTTTTGTATGTACGAAAACTATAAGCTAGTGAAATAATATGAACTAACTAATTTAATGAATGTGTTGAATAACTCTAAAAGCTTAGGGAATTATCCTTTAAAAAATACCATGAAATAACGAAAGAACAATGAAAGAGAGAGATTCAAAGGAAATGTGTAGGAGTCGGAACTATATGGAGCAAAGGAACTATAAAGAGCAAAGGAACTATATGAAGTAAAGGAACTATATGGAGCAAAGGAAATATAAAGAACAGAGGAACTATATGAAGTAAAGGAACTGTATGGATCAAAGGAACTATATGGAAAAAAACGAAAAAAAACAAAAAGAACGAACAGGGCATTATGAAACAAAAAGAACGACGAAAGAGAGAGATTCAAAGGAAATATGTTGGAGTCGGAACTATATGGAGCGAAGGAACTGCATGGAGTAAAGGAACTATATGGAGCAAAGGAACTACATTAAGGAACTAGTTCCTTTTTGAAAAGGAACGAGAAAGATCGATCCGCTAATGAAATCGTTTTAGACTCACTCCAGTAAAATATACAAAATTCTAGCACAATAGGACAAACATTGTAAGTTTGGTGCACTATTTACAAGAAATCGGACGAAACAATATATGGGGGTTATACGGTAGAGTACCGTTATCTTCATATAGTTCATACCAAATCAGATTTGAGACCCTGAACTGACCCATATTTGTTTTTCGTTGTGCTGTTCATTTATTTTGTACTAAATTTTATCTTAGTTGACTCAAACTGTATTAAGGGGACCCCCTCCATTCTCGGTTTCAAAAAATTAATTTAGTTTTTTTATTTTAATTAGAACCTACACTAATCCAAGAATGTCCCTACAAAATTTCAAGTGAAAATCTCAAGAACTCTTGAAAATATAGCCGATTTATTGCGTCAGCATCAAACTTTAAACGCATTTTCCTCAAAGCAGCGTTTTTACGAATGGCGGGCACGATAACTCAAAAACTAATAAACCAATTGGTTCCAAATTTGGACACGTTTCTCTAGGTACAGTTATCGTATGAACTAGGATAAAGCCAATCGGTGAAGAACTTATTTATTATACCCTACACAACTATGTTGTCAGGGTATTACAGCTTTGTGCAGCTAGGACCGGGAAATATTGGTCCTAGAGCCACCTTTAAATATACTGATCGTCATATCTCGACTAACTGAGTCGATCTACACATGTGTGTCCGTCCGTACGTCTGTCCATTATAATTTGTAAACACGATACAGACCACAGTTGTGGACCAATCTTCACGAAATTTTACATGTAGGATTGGTTCTGTCTATTTATTGACCTCTATTGTGTTTGGTAAAGATCGGTTAATATTTAGGGGATGAAATGAACCAAATACTTAATTTTTGTAGGTTTTTTTCTGGTCGCTCCAGAGATCGCAATTATGGCCCGAACATCGCGAAATTTTACATAGAGAAGGGAATCGGGCCAAAAAATAAGCATACCTGTTTCGATAAAGTTCGGTCAATATTTAGCGGGTCAAATGCCGCCTGACTTTTGTGTGAATAATTGCAAAATTTGTATTCTATAACGTATATATTTACCCCTGAAGGACATATACCCGAGAAGTTGATAGTGGTTGACATTTAAATTGATACCCATTATATTCTCGTATGTACTCGGACACTTAAATATCTACAGGTGCTTACGTATTCATATATTATTTAGTAACCCATTAACATTAGAGGGCGGAAATATAGCGCTGATCGCTTTGAAATTTTCCATGAGAATCCAGGTATGTTCAAGGATAACGCCTATAATTATCGTTGATGATCAGATAATAAATTTGAGATGAATTGAACCGAAACTTAATTTTTTTCAAAAACTTAATTAATCGAATGCCGAACATCACAACACAAGCCACGGTGAAGAGAATCTCAACAAGTAATTAGAAGGGCTGTACTGAATATTAGTAATATTTGTTGACATCAGTCGGCCAAGAGGGTGCAAATATCACGAAATATTGCCCAGGCTCTGAATAAAAATCCGCAAAAAGTTAGAGTTCCGTGGTAGTTGAGTATGGTATCGTATGGACGGTCCGCCCGACTATACTGCTCCGCTCACTGGTAACCAGGGATGGTCCGTGTGACGAATTTTTAGGTTTTCGACTGTCAAAAAGGTGTAAACGTCGAAAACGTCATATACCTGTATAAAATGTAATAAACGTAGTAAACGTCATTTATATCAATATTATCAGCATATACAGTTATTTTCAAGAATATATATTATTTTTACATATATCTGACTATTCCTTACTAGAACTAATAAAAATTTCTAAATTTTTTTGAGAAGAAAATTTGGAAATTTTATATCGATTTGAGTAAAGCATGCGTAATTCCCAAATTGATTAATGGAAATAGCTATTTTGTCAAAAACCTAATGTATTTAGGTAGGTTTCCGACGTTTCTGACGTATGTAGTATACGTCGGAAATGTATGTCATTTACGTCACTGTTACTGACAGGCCATCTCTGCTGGTAACACTGTGGTACAGGGCATTATGCCTTTGTGAATATGTATGTAACAGGCAAAATGAAACGAGATAGACCCTTGGTTCCTTTTGAGAAAATGCATAGCATCACTTTCTGAGTCGATTTATGCATGTCCGTCCGTCTGTCCATGTTAACATGTAAACAAAATGCAGGATGCAGGAATATGGACGATTGATACACAATTTTGTGCAAAGTAAGTTTGAAAAGTTTCTCTGAAATCAGTTCAGAATTGGATATTGCTCCCATATATAGTGTCGTCCGATTTTCTGTAAATGGTGCACCAAAGCCCCAAAATATGGACGATTCTTTAAATGGTGCACCAAAGCTCCAAAGTATGTCCGATTGGCACAAAATTTTGCACAACGTACTGAAGTTAGTATAACCTAAGGTGTGCCAAGTTTCGTTGAAATCGGTTCAGATTTGGATATTGCTCCCATATATAGTTTCGTCCGATTTAATATCAATAATAAACCAAATGCCCAAAGTATGGCCGATAAGCACAAAATTTCATCATTCTCAAGTTAGTATAGCCTAACGTGTGGCAAGTTTCCTTGAAATCGGTTCAGATTTAGATATAGCTCTCATATATAGTTTCATCTGATTTTAAGTTAATGGTGCATCAAGGACCCAAAACGTACTGAAGTTAGTATAATATCAATCGTTTAAATCGGTTCGGATTTGGATATAGCTTCGATATATACATTCGCCCAATTTCATGTAAATGTTGCACTAAACTCTTAATGTTTATGAGATTGCGTTTTGTAGAAATGCAGACATTGCTTAAATATATTTTCGACATGTCTACGATTGATTTAGTCGGTTCACAGTTAAATAAAGATCACATATTTTAGTTAATCCGATTTCATGTTAATGGTCCTTCAAAAATGCAATGTTTATAAGATGCATCTCTTGAATATACTCAAAGTGGTGAAGGGTATCATATAGTCGGCTCCGTCCGACTTTACAACTTTCCTTACTGGTTTTTAAATTTATTTTGTGGTAAAAAAAATCATAGGTTAGCCATTTTGTTATTTTTTGAGCGAATTCAATAATCCTAGTTCATGCAAGAGCCAGACATGTACTCTTTCTAACACCGTTGGAATTTCCGGATTCTGATGTTCCAGTGAGGAGTTATCATGCCCATCAAAAATAAGAACTTTTTTTCTAATCATCAAAACAACAACAAAACACCAACAACCAAATTTTGCAAATTATGTTTCTTCTCTGTTAAATCTTTAATTATGTATGTGTAAAGTTACAAACCTTAACATGCATAGGTATTCATTTACTAGCCCAATGAAAATCTTGAAAATTTTAAATTGAGAATGGGGGAGGTCCCCTTAAGGGTACAATACAATTATGCTAAAGAATAATCGAACCAATTCTTTGAATATGATATGTTCATGATCGAGGTGTGAATGGAAAATAATTAACGAATTGACTTAGAACCCAGAATTACTAAAATTATAGTAATTCTGCTCTTCAAGCTCTTTCGAACATCTTCCCTTTTGGAGCGCACAACAGTATCTAGCTGTTGAAAGTGAGTGTCCATCTGAAGGGCATGTGATGAAGTTAACATTCGCTCTTTTTAATCTCACATTAACTGCCTCCTTTCAAACGCAATGAGTGTAATGTGACATTCGGATTTATACCAAATTTTACCCATCCCTTTTCCAGGTTTAAAGGTTTTAGCTGCATTTGGAGGGTGAAATATATACTAATTTTAGTTGTGGTTAATATAGGACCATAAGGAATTTTTGTTTTGAAAAATCGGTATAAGCTCCAAACACTTATTTATTTAATTTCCTTTACGCAGCATCCCTGTTGGCATATGGTACCTGTAAAAATCCCCATCAAGAAAGCGGCATTTGCATAAAAATCATAGAATGCGAATATTTACTCAATATTTTAAATACCAATTTGACTGACGACAATCGAAAATTCCTAACAGCAAGCCAGTGTGGTCATGATGGTTCACAGGATTCAGTTGCCAAAAAAATATTGGTAAAATTGTTGTAAAAGTATATTTAGAAAAGTCCATTAAATATTATTAACATCGTTTTTACAGGTATGTTGTCCGGAACGATATCGTAACAATCGGACATCGAATAGTATAAAAGATACAACGCCAGGGAATAAATTACCCCAACCGGGAGAGTGTGGCAAAAACTTGTCGAAACGAATACTTGGCGGCAATGTAACCGAAATCGATGAATTTCCATGGATGGCTTTAATACAATACAGAACAGGTAAGATGAGAGATTTATTTTTCTATGTGTGACCCAATATTTGATGAAAATCCAAACAACACAATAACTTATAAGACAAACAATTATAAATAGTTTTAACTACAAATTTTTAGCACCCGATCGTTTTGGATTCTATTGCGGCGGCAGCCTTATAAATTCTCGCTATGTCCTAACCGCTGGACACTGTCTCAAACATCCGGATATGCCGGCCAGCTGGGAACTGTACGCGGTTCGTTTGGGTGAATGGGATATAACACTTGATCCCGATTGCACGGTTGATAATGGCATTAAAGATTGCATTGAACCCTATATCGATGTACGTATCGATTATGCCATTGCCCATCCATCGTATTTACCAACATCGAAGGACCAATTTAATGATATTGCCATTATACGTCTCATGGATAGTGTAGCCTCCTACACACACTTAATTCCCATATGTTTACCGGTGGCCGCTAATATTCGTAGCAATTTCTTTACGGGGCATGCTATGGATGTTGCCGGTTGGGGTGTCACCGAAAAGGGCACTACCAGTCCAGTTAAATTGAAAATTATGGTTAATGTTTGGAATGCCACGCGATGCCAGAAAACATATCAAACATTCCAATTGGCCATTAATTCGGATTATCAAATGTGTGCCGGTGGTGAGGATGGCATTGATACATGTCGTGGTGACTCGGGAGGTCCTCTAATGGTAATCGAAAGTGTCGATAAGCGTAATGTTTACTTTGCCGCTGGAGTTGTATCGTATGGACCACGGCCATGTGGTTTGGAGGGTTGGCCAGGTGTCTATACGAGAGTTGGCAGTTATGTGGATTGGATAATTGCGAATATGTTACCGTAAATATTCGATGATGATTTAATATCATAGACTAGACTTGGAGATTATTAAATATTAATAAAGGAAGGATATACTCGTATGTATGGGTTTTTGTGTTTTGCTATGTGAAGTGGAGATTAATTATAGGTATGTTCGTTTACTCTTGGGGGTTTCCGTACCCTTTCTTGTGGAATACTATCGATTCTGTTGTTGTAGCAGTTTATATGAATATAGTTTTCCTATTTAAACTCGATCTGATTCTGTCTCCAATTTAAGAAATGCAGCTACTTCCACTGGCTGCAACCACAGATCTTCAGGAGTAAGACGAGTAGATTTGGCTGGACAATTGAATAAGTGCAGTGTGGTATGAGGGCCCGTACCACATGCTGAGCAGATATTCTGCACCTGGTCATCAATCCTGGGCAGCTGACGTTCTTCAGCGGCTATGGGTGGGGATGAGCTCCGAGGACGGCATTCAATCTGTATCTGTTTACCGCTGCGGCTACTGCATCGCAGTCCTCAGGGCGGCGTTCTGACAGGTCTGAATACTCCATTGCGTATCATTATTGTTCGCAGACCTGGAACCGCATAGCTTGCCACAGATCGACTTATCGCTTTGTAAGAGTTCAACAAGGTTTTCTTATCTGCGCCCCAATTGCTGCCGGCAAACGACTTTTCAAATTATCGCGCGGACAATTTAAACATACTATCGAATGTGATTCCGAGTACTTTGTGGTAGTTGGTGGTCGGAATTGTATGCCCCATGACCTGTACATCAAGTGCATTCACATCTCCGCAGTCCATGTGGTGAATAATGTGGCTGATGATTTCGTGGCGGATATTTTCATATTCCTCGCTTTAAAAAAGGTTGCTAATTCGACGAGATAGGCGTTCAACCTCACACATATGTCCTCAACAATGGGGCCGTCCGGAGGTCGTGGAATACCGGAAAGGTAGACGTTAATATCACTCCACCCTGGGGAACTCACTGTTTAACTCTACGGGGTTTGTACTTCTTATTCCGGAACTCCATTTACGACTCAAATAGCGTGGCATGGTTGACAGTATCAAAGGCTTTTGATAGGTCAAGCGCTACCAAGATTGTTCTATCGCACGGCCAGTTCTGGTTAAGTTCTCTACTTATATGGGTGAAGATGGCGTGCAACGCTGCCCATTGTCCAGGCTTTGGGAACGACGTGGGTGGCTATCGACAATTTGAGGACGTTGGTCAAGTACTCGACTCCTGGCTCATCCAGCTGCTTCAGCATGTACATGGATATTCCGTCAGGGTCCAACGCTTTGGATGGCTTCGCCTTACATGCAACATCACCCATCGTGAACTGTGGTGGTACCTCCTCGACTGGAAGAGATTTTATACGACGAAGTATTCTTCTCTTCGCCCTGTCGCTCTCGGGACAGGGCGCGCATCTCTTCGGATCAGTCACAGCTTCGCCGTTAAATGTGACTAAGGTCCGATCATCCTTTTTACTAGGGTTCGAAAGCGACTTAACCGTGGGCAAAGGCAGTTTACTTACTCCGGTACCAATGTTGCAACTCTCCGCGACTAAATTGCTGACCTCCAACGTAAGTTCCCTGACCCGATGATAACTTTTCAAATATTACTAATATCAATTTTTATTCAATAAAACCATCATGCATTTTTTCAGATATGCCGGGATTACCAATATTTTGCATGTTTTATTTACATTTATTGCACAATTGGTCATTGAATTGTTATAAAAACGATTTTAAAATCTGTTATACTGAACTAAAGTCTGTTATACGTGTCTTTGCTAAATTTGAGTCTTTGCTAGTTAAAATCGATTTTATCTTCACGCACATCTTCGGATTTCAGATTTCTTTTTCTCGGTCCAGCTACTTTGTCACGTTTACATTACGTTAGGATTCTTTACATACTGCTGATTTGTCCAAATTAAATATGCAAACACGCATTTTTTATAAGCACTTACCTTGTAATGTTTCAATATAAGCCTTATAATTTTAGTTACACAATTTTTAAACTTCTCATAAGTAAAAAAAATTAAATCATTGATAAGATAATATTTGTATTTAACACATTTGTAGCAAAAATAAATTAAATAATATATAAAAAACTATTTATAACAAAACATAAAATGAATACATGTAACAAAAAACAATGGAATAATAATAAACAATAAATGACAAATTTGGAATTTGCAAAAAATAAGGAACTAATAAAAATATATAAACGTGCAGCAATAAATAATACTACGATTATTTATTAAAAAAGGCAATTAAATATTTTGCTTTGCAAAATCTTTGTGGGTTTTGGAAATGTTGATATTAGTGAGAATGCAATATTCATTTGCAAACATTTATACTGCGAATATTTAAAACAATGTTAAATGAAGTATATAAATAAATAATAATAAAATTAAATAGGTTTACAAAAATTGAGATGCAGTGCAAAAATTTTACAAAAATATAATTTTTTTTAATACTGTTGATTCGAATATAATTTGTTTCTTTTTTTTTTTTGTTAATAAATATATTGTGTAAATTTTCTTCTGCTTAAATTGTAAATGGACGCAAAATTAATTTTAAATTTATAAACTTTGGTGACATTTCGTATTATAAAACAAGCATACAATTTCGATTTGGTTTTTTGCAAATTGGAAAAATATTCGAGAGATAATGGTAAGAAAAAAATTAATTATATTAGTAATTTATTTTAAATACAATATTTCTATTTTCGTTTTTTTGGAATTTATTATATTGCGCATCAAATTACTTGTTTTGAGGACAACATATTAGAATAACATTTGTATTGTTTATCGATTCGATTGAGTATTATTAATGTAATACCACAAAAATTAAATTTCTTTAATAAATTTATTAAAAATACAAGTGAGAAAAGACTAAAGTATTTTTATGTTAAAACCAACACCAGACTTAAATTGATTCTGTAAAGTTTCATTGAGTGATGGTGTTGGCAATAAAATATATAATATTTTAGTATTGATTTAATTTTTGTTTTTAAGATTCTGTGTTTAAATTTGAAATATAATATTTGTTTGGTGCTTACGTATAAGAAAGGCAACGGCACCAAAAAATTTAATTTAAAGAAGGCCTATAATTGGTTAATTCGACTATTTTTTGTTTTTGGTTTAAACTAAAATACAAAAATTTAATTATTTACTATTCGTTTGGAGATTCTACAATAATGGCATTATCAATGTGTGAAGCCAATTTCTTTTTAAAGTTTTCAAGCAAGCCGGCCAATGTTAAACAAAATCCACGACTAGCTGGTACCAAAGGGAACTCAGGCATACAATAGGCAGATGTCGGTTTTGTAGGGTTAACTAGAAGAGAAATAATACATACATTATACTAACAATACTAACACATAATTCAATTATATATACCATCATTTGTTTTATTATCGCCTTCCTTTGAATTTTTGCTACTTTCTTTTGATAATTCAATCCAACCCTTGATACGTTCATACATCTGCATGCCATTATTTTTGTAATGGATTAGAATTTCATTGCGAAATATTTCTAGGGGATTTTGTATTAGCTTTGTGGTTGCTTGTACCATTTTAATCATGACCATTTCATTGTACATTCGTGAATTTTCACGGCCTTGTTGGGTATCTAAGTAATAACAAAAATTAATAATTTTTACCTAAATTTATCTTCAATTGCAAAAAAAATCCGAAATTACCTTTTTGTTTATCATAACCAGCTTCGTTGAAATATGGCTCAGGCACCAGTATAAGACCCTGTATGGACACAATCACTTGCAGCAATGTACTCTTGGGACCCCACATTTCACTATCCTTGCCGGTCCATGTTCCCAGCAGTGATACACAAACTTTGCCATCCTCATAGAGATTTGGATTCAAACGATCCGAGCAATAGCTAATGTAATGACAGCGTGGTGGAAGTTTTGGATAGTCACGGCCCAATTGTATATCGAAAAAGAACAAGCCATCTTCGTATGGAGTATTTTTGGGTCCTTCAATCATAACACTTAGCAAATCCATACGGTCTTCAAAAACTCTGAAATATAACATATTAATTCATCGACTATTATAGGTAACCGACAATATATAAAGTGCTAAGTACATACCTCACCCACACTCCCGGCGGTAATGAACTCTTCAGCATACGATGTTCCTTTTGCACAGCCTTATAATATTGTTGCGTATTACTTGGATGAATTATAGTTAAATGGAATTTATGGGATTTTGGCGCAGTGGGTAATAGTTGGAAACATTCGGTACTCGAATTCAAAACATGAAGACCAGCTTCAATTGTCGTTTGATTACTGCCATCATCATTTACAGTGGGTGATGATGTCACAATTGTTTTATTGGTATTACCATCTTTGGCTTCGGGCGTTGGTACTTCCACAACTGCTGCTGCTGCTGCATCATCTTGCTTTACACAATCTTTGGTATTTTTATCGTTTTCAACATTTTCATCATCCTGAGTACTTTCAAAGTCTACAACTGTTTCCAATGTTTCGTCGTAAACATCGAAAATATCACTCAAATTCAATTGATCATCTTTGTAGTATTTTTCCCGAATCTCATCTAAACATTTCACCAATTGTTCCTTGAGCAGTGAACAGAGGCGAACGCAAACGAATTCGGGTGGACCATCCTCGGGCAATTCTATGCTACTACATGATACAGATTTTTGATTATCGTTTACTTTGGTTATTGAATTATTGGTATCGATATTTGTAAGATCGGAGGAACTAGTACAGCTTGTTGAGCTGCCATCACAGTTTTCGTTGCGAGAATAATTACCGGAATCATCTTGAGACATTGATGCATTATTCACATTGCTGCTGCTGCCACCACCACCACCACTGCCATCTATAAACGTTTTCAATTGACTTGTTTTTTCAAAGGCCTTTTCAATATTAAGCATGGCTGAGTTGAGCAGTTGATGTTTCTCAGCATTATAAAGCTTAGTTTTGTTGGGTGATATTTCAATTTGTGGCATATTAGCCACAGTCGAATTCGGAGTTTCTACAACATTCAGATCACAGCCAGGCTCTGATTTTTGATACTCTGTTGGCACATTTTCGCGTCTTCTCGGTGGAGAAGACTGATGGGTGGCAGGTGTTGACGAGTAACGTCGCCTTGTATTATTGGATGCGTTACCTAATTGGCTTGGTGAATTCGCCACATGACTGCCGCTGGAACATTTGAAAGGCGTGGAAGAAAGGTTGAAGAGAACTTTCGGTGCATATTCCTTAGATGGTGGACCTGGAAACGATTGCATATGTTGCGTTGATTGTATAGAAGGCTTTTGGCCGCTATTCACAGCCACAATGGCACTGTAGTATTGGTAATGTTGTTGTGGATGAGATTGATTTGGGCTAGGACTTGTGCTGGCTGCAGTTGGTCCTCCACCATCGTTAAATAAGCGATTCTTTTGATCATGGACACGATCGCAGATGGTTTGATTGCCACCACGGCGAACACGTTCAATTAAACCCTAAAATTTTAAAATCTATTAAATACCAAATTTCGAATTATTTTAATTCAAATTTACCATAAAATTGTCCTCATGGAAAAAATTGGTATTTAATAGACGATCTAGATAGCGACAACCTTTATAAACATCCAAAAGCTTACGCATAACCTAAAATTGCGTTCGAAAAAAGAAATTCAAAATAAATTATAAATATTTAAAAAGTTTGGAATTTTTCATTACCTCTGGATTTTGCAAATTTGGGCTTATATTGAAGATTTCTTCTAAGCGAGCTACCGCCACCCGGGCCTTTTCAATATTTGACAATACATGAGATTGCGACATGGACAATTTTAAGCTGCTGCTACCGCCACCACCACCAAATTCACTATTTTCCGACTCAGTTTCCCAAGAGTCTTCCGAATCCTGACCCCAGTCACCGTTGTCATATTGACCAACTTCGAAAAGGTCTTGGGGCCAGCACATGCTAATGTGGCCATGAACCCACCATACTTTAACACGACCATCAATGTGATTATCTATGATTTGTCCAGCTGTACATTTGGCATCATCGCCCACAAAATTAGCCACTCGAATGACCATAGTACCGGGACGATATTGGAAATCTGGATGATCTTTTAAGTCGTAAACACTAACCTCTGATTCACCTTTATAGGCTGGCCTAAATAACGCAAAGAAATTTATTTTATTTTATCCTAAATTTCAGAAATAAATGTTGTTAATTTGTACCTTGGTTCATCGGCAGAAGTGTATGTCGTAAACCATTTAACATGAGCAATTCTGCCTTCATGATCGACTGTTTGAATTACGCCATAGTCTCGATAGTTAGCTTCGTCATCTTCAATTCCTGATATAACAAAATCTCCGGGAAAGAATTCCTTCAAGAAAAAACGAAGTTTTTTTAAATTTAACATTTCTGTTGGCACAAATTTTCTACAGTTTTTTTGAAACTTACCTGATTATCTACATGATGAATGGGATACAATTCGGTTGATGGTATATCACATTCTACCGTACCATCCTGCCACACAACCGTTGCTGTACTATAGACTAACAAAGACCCGGTTACAAGTTCATCACCTTCTTTAGGTGCAAAATCCTTTTTAGGTTCATTCAGAAATGGTTTGGTAAAATTCTTCCTCGACTTCCCTTTCTTCAATTGACGTTTGCTTAAACGAATGGGACTGGTTCGCGATGGACTTGAACCTGTTGACATTGTGGTGGTTGTACTAACAGCATCATCATTGGCATTATGGAGTTTAAGACTTTCTTCTGTATCAAAATCATCTTCCTCATCATCGTCGTCTTCTTCAACAGATAACCATTCACTGTCATCCTTTTTCTCTGTAGGCGATGATGGTGTAGATTGTTTTCGGTTACTAGGTGAATCTTTGTTATGATTGCTGCCGAATTTGTCACTACCGCCACCCTTGAATAGACCACGCTTCAGTTTATTTGATGATTTCTCATCCAAACCAATGCTATGCTTCTTTTTCAATTTTTCGTAATGATGCAAAGTACCACCAGAAACACCGGCACCTGGACCACTAAGTGTGGGTGGATTCAGTAGCATCGATTGGTGTTCTTCTTTTTGTTTTTCAAATATTATTTTATATTTTGCTGACATCTCTTTTTCCCAGTCGGATTTTTTCATTACTGTATCACAAGATGAAAATGTTAAATAACTATCATTGTCAATCTGTAGCATACACGATTCGAAGAGATTTAAACGTTTTAACTTTTTAAGATCTTCACCGGAAACACACGGGTGAGGCTGTAGAGTTATAGCCTGTAGACTTGTTTCATCGGACAAGGCTTTACAATGCCAATGAACCCAAACTGATTCGGTGTAAACACTTTCAATGGTGAACTAAAAATAGAAATCATCTTTGAATAGGTATTTTGCTTGTCTATTTAAAGGAAAAAACATACCTTTCTTGAATGTAGTTTTCGTTTTTTGCTTTTACTCAAAGGTATATCAGGTGTTAGTACTTTAATTTCATTAAGGGGTGGCATATATCCCACAATGGTACAACCAGGATAAAATGAGTTTTCATCTTTAAACATATCTTCAAATAAATAGAAATGTTTCGATGATATTTCTATGCGGCATCCGTTCATTGCTCTATAGTGATTAATGAAATGTACGTTTTATTAATTTTTGTTGTAATTTGTGATTGAGTTTGTTTTACCTTAGAATGGCCTTTTTCTCCACATCTTTTATACTGCCTACCCATGAATTGAGATATACAGCACTATCCCTTTCCCAGGGGCAGAGTGCTCTTAAGCGTTCAGCATTTACATTCTTGATAACATATTTAGTACCCAGTACTCGAACATCAGCTCTCATATCAATATCACGACAATAGCCTCGCTGTGTTTCTTTACCACGTACCAGACGTCGAACAACATCACCAGGCATTAATGTACGATCAGCTAAACCAATCTAAAAAATGAAGAAAAAATAATGTTACTTACTCAAATAATGTAATGTAAATTCATCACAAAAGCAATAACTATATATATGTATTCCCAAGCTCCGTGCTTTAGCATATGATAAATGAAGGTTGGGTAGCCAATTTGCATACAGAGTAAATCGCTCCTCAACCGACATCTGACAATATGATAATGGATTGACAGACGTTGGCCGAGAAAGACTCGGGTCGTTTCGGATTGTAGAGTCCTCTGTCGTGGAAACGTGATAATGGATTGTAGTCAAAACAGATTCCCACAGACGGCAGTTAATAAATCCACCTCAATGTCGACAGGGACCGAAATTGATTATATATTTGGGAGCCAACAAAGGCAAGGAGGAAGACACCAAAAATTTTTAATTTCAATATAGAAATAAAATACACACTTCTTACTTGATTTTTGGTCTATATATTTATCCTTTTGCGTATAAGTAGCCAACCTTCGTCAAAGTATTTAAGTTTTATTCCTATGGACAAATTATCCTTTAAAAATCAAAAACTCGTACGCATACAAGCAATACTTTGTTTTAAAATTTTACTGTCCAAATCTATCCCTCATTTACGTTTCCGTTCCGGAACTACTTGGACAAACCTTGGCTAATTATCAAATGAGCGACAGCTGTACAAAGTTTTAAAACGTTCTCCTATGGAGAGATGGCAACTCCGGCTATGCGACATAAGCTGTCGAAAATTTTTATATTTTCATATCAGAGAAAATCGTCATATCGTTAAGAAAATTGCATTTTTGTGGTAATCAATATCAATATTAGGGAACATAAACGAAATTACAGATTTCCGCAAGAAAAACATATTTTCGTAATAAAACGATCACCGACCAAGACTTAAACTAGAATTCAGACTTAATTATTTCAGGCTTAAGTGGATATAACGTGACTAGCCTAACAAGCAAAAAAGTGTCAGTCGGTGTTACCGAAAGATATATACCCTCAGCCTATAGTTTAAAGATGTTTTATTGTTCGCTTTATATAAGTTATAAGGTTTTATTAAAGAGGTTTCGAATGTAATGTTGATAAATCAAATCCTTTATTCAATTTGCTTCAAATGAAATATACAAGTACTGATATTTAGTGATAAAATATTGATATTTAGTGACCATATGGAGTGGACCAGTAGGTATCATTTTCGGACATGATCAGGGTTTGGTAAAGATAATACGGTGTACAAAGTTTGGTTCAAACCGAACATTCCACCAGAAAGAGTGAACCAAGTGGGTCCCATCTTCGGAATTTTTCTAGGCTTGGTACTGATAACATGTGCTACAACGTTTGATTCAAATAGGATAGCCCGTTCGCATAATATAAAATTATTGTTGACCATTTTGTGGGGAAGGTACCAGAAGGAGGGGACCAATATTTCCCATCTTTGAACTTGAACCGATACTTTGCAATGTTGTTAAGTTCTACATCCCTACATACATTAATAGTATAATTAATTTCTTTCAATTTATTTTCCATCTACGAGAACCTGCCACAAAGGACATGAGCGACTCCATAAACTACTCCACTACATTGACTACTGCAAAAAAAACTAATAAACAATTTTTAACATTTCCCGCAAAACATCTGTGGTGATACATTCCTTGAAACACCAACCAAAACTGTGCCTCAGGGTCCTTTTCTGACATTGAAATATTTTGCAAAGAAAAACATCAAAATATAATTTGACAGTTATCCAATGTTGCGTTACATTACACATGTTACACGGTTCTGATTGTTACATGTTTTCCTTCTCTTTCCCTCTTACACCCCCTCCCTTCAACCATCCATCCATCCCTTCTCTTTATTAATTCATTCTGTTGTTCTAACAATAACAATTGCAAACAAATAGTCGTAATTTACAGTTATTTTTTCTACGAAATGAAAAAATATGTAAAAAAAATTGCATAACTGTTATTAAAACAGAAAATATGCATCTTACTTACCTCGCTTTCAGAACACACTTCAGCATTTTCACCAGGACACCATACTACACGAACCTCGCCCTTCGATAATAACTCTTCGAATTCTTCATCTTGATCGGCTGGCGTTTCCATAATTACACCAAATTTAACACGCCCTTTCTTGTCGATGCGAAACACTTCATCCTCATAGAAATACATGCTATCGCCTGGAGTCGTTGCTTCATCACTTCCGTTGGATAGATTTTTAACACTTTTATTTTCCTCACTGTGCAGTAATTTGGGTGAGGCACCAGATTTGTTTGTCGAGTCCGTTTCAAAGGATGATGAATCATTGTGTTGAGAATTTTCCAAATGATTTTTTGCATCGCTCAGAAGAGTTTCGTGACTGTTCGATTCAACTCCACTGTCTTTTGAAACATTTGTGGAGGCCACTTCTGATTCCATCCTATATTATATTGATCTAATTGGCTGTTTCCTTTTTCCTTGTGTTTCTTTTATCTCCTCTACACGATTGAAATATTTTTGCAATTTTCGTTTCACATGAATTTTAAGTATTTGTTTATTTTTAGAGATTTCTTGTTTAGCTTTTATAATTTAATTTGTTAATCGTTAATGTTTTTCTTATTTTTTATAATTTTTAATTTTTCTTATTGCTAAAAAACTAACGGAGACGGAGAATTTTTTTCGACATTTAAATTAAAGCACTAATGCACAAAATAGTACGATAGCGGATAGCGGACTTTTGGGCTCTCACACACTTACTCTCTGAATTCAGAATTCAACTCTGAATTAAGGGATGACGGACCAGTCATGGCCTATAAATAAGGTCACCCAAGGAGACCAGCTGATAATCGATACCTCTCAAGTTTGCTGTCAAATTGCATTATTGTGAATTGACTTCCATTATGAAAACGTAAACAAAGTCGAAATTTATGACATTAGCTATCTTGGTGACCTTATTAATAGATCTTGCTCTCTAAATTAAAGAGATGACGGACCAGGCATACGTAAATTGAAATTCAACTAATCGATTATTTGTTGCAAAATAAACTGATTAGTAGAATATCGACTTTTGTGATGCTAAAAATCGATAATTCGATTTATTACTTTGAACCAGGGATGGAAAGTGTTTACTTTTTGGAAATGAATGAATAATGAATGTTCAGGTGCATTGTGCAATTCCCAAATCCCAGCTGGTTTGATTCCAACGTAATAATAGTGTCAATAGCTCTGTCTGTTTACTCGATATTTGGTAACATTTGTTACCAAATGTTACTAAATGTTGTCTGTTTACACAAAGTCGAGAGAGTCAAGTGAAAGAGCAAGTTTGACGGTTCAACAACAACAAACTTACTGGAGTTTACTGAAAGAATTTAATCCAGTAAGATGTTGCACACTCCGTATTTTTGGATCAGCTGTTTTATGACCAAACATAAAAATTATTCAAAACATTTTTTGATTTGCAAAGTTCAATTTGAATTTAAGTTGTATAAAAATTACTGAAAATGGAAGAAAATTAAGTAAGTAATGCAAAGTTTCATTAAATTAGAAACTAATTCCTTATAGTTTTTAGGCAAGTTTCAGATAGAGGGCAATGTATTGGTGCAGGAAGCTTAAATGTTCCCGGGGAACATACCAAATCAATTTTTCTTTTATTGTTCATTTTATTTTTAATATTAAATGCAATACAAATAATTGTGTTTGTCCTTTGTTTGTTCATTTTGGCGCAAATCAAATGCTTTCTTGAATCAGCTGTTTATTTGCTAAATCTTACTAAATGTTGTCTGTTTACTTTTCCCAGTATTATCGCAAAAGAGAGTAAAAAAGGCTTAAAGTACGTTTACATTTAACCGGATTTCGCAAATATGTCAAATAAATCCTCATAAGGTAGGTTAACCCGGTAAAAAGTTCTAATGTATATGCCGTTTTACTCTCTAAGCTAGAACTTTCTGAATAAATGTTACTGGAAAAATAACCAGACACACCTAATATGAATTTACTATTTTTTTTTCGATATCATAAAGGAAAATTCGTTATCGTAGTAAAAAGTAGTAGATTCTTGAAGTACGGGAACAGGCCATATGTTTTTAAAAATCACCCAAGAGGAAAATTGGAAACGCATACAATTTGAAATTGATCTTTATTAAATGTGCTCCCGTATTCAATTTACTCAATCTGCCTACTGGGAAAGTTTGACGAAGCAAATCTTTCTTCATGGAATAACTCGCAATTCCCATTTTCATACGTGTTATCAGAGTTTTACACTTGTGGTGATTGAGATTGGTGTTGAGAGTTTTTCTCTCTTGAGAGAGTAATTAGAGTTGCGCTATTTTTAATTTTCTAACAAGCGTACTTTTTGTCCACAAAAGGTACGAATTGACATAAACGTACCAAAACAAAAAGTAGATTTTTTATTATTCGTGAATACATTTACGCTTAAATTATAACATATATTATTTAGGCAAATAACTGGTATAAATATTGGCCTATATTTCCCGATAATTATGATTTATTATGATTGGAGTAATATTTTAGGTACATTTTCGTACTTTTTTGTTCCTACCTGTGGCAATGTTTTCCAACTCTATTCCCAATTTACCATGAGAGAGAAAAAACTCTCAACACCAAACCAAGTGTTTGCCAATTAAATCCCGACAATCACGGGAAAGTAAAATATCACCTAAAAACACAAACATTTTATAAATAATTTTTGTTTTCCTTTGATTTTCATTTTTGCATTTGGCAATCGTTAAATATTTAAAAACACAACATGCGAAAACAGTTGCAAATTTTGGTACATAGTGAGAGAGTTGTATTTTTTCGTACTAATGGTGTTTTTACACGATATGTATTTTACATATGTGCTGTCATCCATTCATCCATATGTAGTTCTTTATGTGTGTCAAAATTAGCAGCGTACACAAAACATTTATTTTTTGCGTTCAAATTGGCATATGTATTTTACATATGACATAACCTATAAACAAAAAAACACTTTTATTATTTTCTTAAATCAACATCTTTTGTTTATTAAACACCTACAAACGAAATAATAATTTGTAATCGTTGCCTTTTCTTAATTTTCTTTGAATTGCAATTGAAATATTTTCTTCCAACAATGTCTTTCATTCAAACAGCTGATTTCCTTATGTTTCACATACGAAAATAGAGCGCGTCCTATTCGGAAAAAATACATATGTAATTGCATATCGTTTTGACACATTGAAATTTCCGTATGTTTCACATGACGAGTTCGCTCTTTACACATGGAAAAAAAAGTGACAGCACATATGTAAAATACATATCGTGTAAAAACACCATAAGAACCAAGTTGCATTTCATTCGTATCATGATATCGATCATGATTCAAAAAAAAAAAACAATAAATGAATATATGACAAATAAATCCTCATAAAGTAGGTTAACCTGGTAAAAAGTTCTTTGCATATGCCGTTTTAAATTTGTATGATAAATCATGGTAAATTCCGCCTGATTAAGAAAATAAACCCTGAGTAAGCCTTTAATCCTGATTAAATGTTATATGTAAATCCGCTTATACATACACAAAATATATATTTTGATTTGATGGAACAAGCCACCTTAAGAAAAAATTATAATCAGTTGGTAGCAGTGCCCTACCTTCTAATAATTATACCATGCTCGAATCTATGAAGAAAATAGCCATGGCACAATAAAAACATTTAGCGCAGCTAATGTCTCGATTAGCTGTCAATTAATTTCTACATGAATTCGATGTGCAATGTTGCCAACCCCCTGAAATATTATACGGAAAAAATCGACAGATGGTCGAGACAAAAACAAAGGCTTTTGTTGTGAAACATCACCTTATTATTGCATCATGAAAATAGCAAAATCTGGTAGATTTTGCAGTACGGGAACAGGCCAATGATGTATGTTTGGTAAAATATTACGTAGGTACAGCCATAGTACAAATATACAAGGTAGGGTATCTTTTGTCAAACGCGAAAAATTAATGGAATGTCAGGTTTTCTTTTCAAAATCGAGTTGGGAACATGATTTAGACATTGATTCATTCACAATTCCTACATTTCTTCTTACCAATGTTGTACATTCCTTCTTTAAACAAATGGATTTTATAATATATTGGTCTGTTCTCGTACTGCAAGAATCTACGAGTTTTTACTATTTTTTTTTTCGATATCATAAAGGAAAAAAGTGTTATCGTAGTAAAAAATAGTAGATTCTTGCAGTACGGGAACAGACCATATATGTTTCTATATTTTTCAAAACATCACATAGGGTTTGAGCTAAATCAGCTTGCCAAATTGATAGTGTGTACACTACTTTATACTAATGTTTGTATAACAGCTGTTTTGAAGCCATTATCGACAGCAGTCGATATTCGATTTCCCAAACACTGGAATCCGATTATACAAAATTCGGTTTAGGCCCGTACCTAAATTCAGTGCGTTGCGCACTAAAATTCCCACCTTCTCACCTTTATGTGGTTTGCTGAACGACCGTATTACCCAAATACGCAAGGGTCAATTGAAAACCGCGAAAATGGATGAAAACAGTTTTTTAATTGTTCGAAAAACGTTTACTTTTATAGAAACACAAATTTTTCAATGACTGGAATTCTATTTTCAAAAAACAAACAATTCAAAATACGCCTTGTCAATGTTGAAAAATTTCAACTTTATATTTTTATACGCAATGCGTATTTGGGTAACATACATTAAAATACATGTATTTAACTTTTGAGGTGAATAAAATCGTACGCATACGTATAAATTTAGGTACGACCCTTACATATCAATTAACCCGTTCATACAACAGAGTTGTTTTATTTCAAACGTTTGGTTTCTTGTTTTACACCAAAATTGTAACATATTTGCGTGAATCACATCAAAATAAAAAAAATAATTCTCTTTCTCCTGACTATAGTAAGAACCCATAGTATGTATTCATTTTTTATTTTTTCTGAAAATGTGGTTGTTTTTAATAAATTTCTATATTTAATCGATGCAAATGTCACATATGTTTTGTACGCTAATTAGAAACGAAGTGAACGAAATGCATATTGAATTATGTACATAAAAAAATTTACATCCTGCTGCATATATAAAAACTAGACAATTTGTTACTTTTCTGGCGTAAATAAGAAATCAAAAACAAAAGCAAAGAATAATATCAAAATAGATAAAAGTGAAATTTAAGCAAAGATGACGATTATTTACAAAAGAGTCAAACTTCGATTTTACAAAGCGCAATGAAATTGATTAATTCATCTATATTTTTTTGGTTTTTAGACATCAGGATTTCCGGTAAGTTGTTAAACTTCTTGAACAATCCAAAATCATTCCTATGATTCTGATACTTTTTGCAGGAAAAAATAATGTGATTTTCATCTTCAATTTCGTTGCAGGTTTCACAAAGATTTGAATCAACAATTCCAATTC